GGGGGGTGGGGGAGAAGAGGTAGCGCGACCCAAAGCCACACCGACGGGCGCTAGGGGTCATTTCCTACCTCACACTTACAGCAGGCGATGCGGGGGTGACGATGCTTCGCTTTACATTTCAGACACCCCGTGAGCGCGTTGGAGGGAATGGGAGGGGGGGGGGGGGTGAGGAAGGAGCGCACGCTTTGCGCCTCGCGCCTGCCAATGGCTCACCGCACGGCATAATACATTTAGAATGATGAAGTGGTGCAGCCAATCTCTGAGGGCGGCGCGTGGAGAGAGAATGGGGAGGAAAAGCGCTTCCCTCTGCGAGCGGCATCGGTATGCATTGTACTTAGAGGCCTGTGTGGCTCGAGTGGTGATAAGGAAAAAAACCCGTCTAAAACAGGTAGGTGTGTACAGGAATAAAAAGGTAGAACTCGAAGGGTTTGGATGCCTTTACAAATGTATTGAAATTTACAAAATCATCGCAACTGCCCAAATGTGCTGAATTTTACTGCCTTTGGACACTTTTATTGTGCCTTTGCAAAGGCGTTAAAACTTAACACGCCTAGCAATGCATTAAGTCCTACCTAAGTGTGACAACAGTAACTGTTTCACATTATGTAGGCAGCAGAACAACTATTTCGAAAACATAATGTATCCTAGGTTACATCGGTACATCGGTACATCTATAGAGAGAGGCGCTGCTGCTGCCTCTACGGTGATCGCGTCAACTTGTACTCTACCTACAACTCTCTTGGCTTTCTTCTCTCTGGCAGGCGCAATCCCCCTTAGCGGGGTGCCCAGCTCTTTCCTTGACGCCAATGCAAAAGGCAAAGTGCCACCCTACTAGGAAACCTGATGGCCTCACGTCAAAGCAGCTCTCTCCATCGCCATCGGCGGCCTTTGGGGCCTTGCTTCCACTCCGCGCGGCGCAGTCAGAAACAAATTCACCCCCCGCATCCCCTTCCAGACCCGCCGCTGCAAACGACCTTACTTTTTTTCCCTCCCTCGTCCCTTTCTGACGTATTGGGCTGCCACTCTGACCTCGGCGCAGCGTCCGTCAAACTTCACCATCCTGCCGCTTTTATCGAGAGAAACATTATCAACAGTTTGATTTAATGACCCGGCTCCCTGCTATGGCCCCCCTTCTCTCCCCCCTTCTCTCTCTCTCTCTCTCTCTCTCTCTCTCTCTCTCTCTCT